AATATTTAGAATTAAATAAAATATATTAAATTTAATAATATTAAATCATAAACATAACTAAAATACTATTAATTTTTCCTTATAATTTTTTTTGTCTATCTTTTGAATTGTAAAAAATATTAACCCTATAATTCAAATTCTTAATATTAATAAAAAAAAGGAATAAAAATCACAACCAATTATATATCCTAAATTAATTCATAAATTATCTTTAAATATAAATTTAAATATAAATATAAAACTCATAAAAAAAATTATATTATAATAAAATATGTTTTTTTTTTAAAAAAAACTATTAATTCCCTAAATATAATTAAACAAATAAATTTTATCATAATAAATTAATTTTAAATAAATAATTTTAAACAAATAAATTTTATCATAATAAATTAATTTAAATAAATAATTTTAAATAAATAATTTTAAATAAATAATTTTAAATAAATATTTTAAATAAATATTTTAAATAAATAATTTTAAATAAATAATTTTAAATAAATAATTTTAAATAAATAATTTTAAATAAATAATTTTAAATAAATTTTCCTATATTATATCTATAATATATTTCATTGCCAAAAATTCGGACAATTAAAACTAATAAAGATAAGCCTAAAACTCTTTCACAAACTCTAAAAACTAAATAATAAATTATATAAACCTCTAAATTATAAAATCTATAAATTATAAATATTATTATAGACAACAATAAAATTATTATTTCTACAATCATTAATACAACCAATATATATTTATATATTAATAATAATAAAATTATTATAATTATATATAAATAATTATAAATTAAAAAATCAAAATTAATAACTTATATAGTTTAATAAAAACATTAATTTTGTAAATTAAAAATATTTTATTTAAAATTATTAGTTTACTTATCAAAAAAATAACATACTATTATATCTTTAATCTCCAAAATTAAAATTTTTCTTATAAACTATTTTTGATATTTATATAATTTATAATTAAAATTTTATGAATAAAGATTTTCAATTTTTCAGAATTTTAATTTTACTTTCTTTAATATTTTTATTCTTCTTTTTAAGAATAAACATTAAAATAATACACCCAACAATAATTATAATAACTATATTAATATATTCATGTTTAATTTGCTTAAAAATATCAATATGAAAATCAAATTATATTTATTCAATTATATTATTTTTAATTATAATTAGAGGTTTACTAATTATCTTTCTTTATTTTTCAAGATTAATTTCAAATGAACAAATAATCTTAAAATTTAATAATTTTTATTATACTCTTTTATTTTAAATTTTTTAATTATAACATCATTAATTTTAAATCTAATACACTTATTTCCAATGAAACAAAATTTTACAGAAATTTTACCAATTAATTTATTAAATAAAAATTTTTTCAAAATATTTTAAATCTTTATGAATATCCATTAAATAATTTAACTATTATAACCATAATATATCTTCTCTTATCTCTATTCATTATTATCAAAATTTGCTCAACTAAATCTTTATCTTTACGAAAAATTAATTAAATTTACTACACTAAATTATGAATAAAACTTTAATTAATATAATTAATAATACTTTATTAAAATTACCAACTCCAGTAAATATTTCTTATTGATGAAATTTTGGCTCACTATTAGGTTTATTTCTTTTAATTCAAATTATTAGAGGATTCTTTTTATCAATACATTATTGCCCTAACACAAATTATGCTTTTAATAGAATTATCCATATTATTCAAAATATTAATTTAGGATGATTAATACATAATATCCATATTAATGGAGCATCAATATTTTTTATTTGCATATATATTCATATAAGACGTGGACTTTATTATAACTCATTTAAACTTTATAATACTTGATTAATTGGTGTAAGAATTTACCTTATTTCAATAGCTACAGCATTTTTAGGGTATGTTCTCCCTTGAGGTCAAATATCTTTTTGAGGGGCTACTGTAATTACAAATTTAGTCTCAACCATTCCTTATATTGGTAATTTAATAGTTCAATGGTTTTGAGGAGGATTTTCTATCAATAACGCTACTTTAAACCGATTTTACTCTATCCATTTTATTCTCCCATTTATTATTATAATAATAGTTTTAATTCATTTATTCTTCCTCCATTTAACAGGATCCTCAAATCCATTAGGAACAAATAGAAATTTAAATAAAATTCCTTTCCATATTTATTTTACATTAAAAGATATATATGGATTTATATTTTTTTTTTTTTTTTTATTATTAACTTAGAAATACCTTATATTTTTAGTGACCCTGATAATTTTCTTCCAGCTAATCCAATAGTTACTCCAATCCATATTCAACCTGAATGATACTTTTTATATGCATATGCTATTCTTCGATCTATCCCTAATAAACTAGGGGGAGTAATCGCATTATTATCATCAATTATTATCTTATATTTTTTACCTTTAATTTCTATAAAACTTAATTCATTATCATTTTATCCTTTAAATCAATATTTATTTTGAATTTTTATTAATATTTTTATCCTATTAACATGAGCAGGGGCCCAACCCATCGAAATACCTTTTATTTTAATTAGACAATTATTATCATTTTGTTACTTTTTTTATTTTATTATTCTTTCCCTTCTCATAAAAATATGAGATTTCTTAATATTTAAATAAATATATTAAATTTAATATATACTATTATACTTATCTATTAATTTTTCTAATATTAAATAATAAGTTAATGATCTTGAATTTAAGTTTATGTTTTGAAAACATATTAAAGAAATTTTAATTTTCTATTAACTTTTTAAGCTCTTATTATTTTTTTTTTTTTTATTTAAATTACCATTAACAATAGAAATTTAAACCCAAAAATTAATATAATATAAACTAAAATTATTGGTAAAATAATTTTTCAACATAAATATATTAATTCATCATATCGTATTCGAGGTAATATCCCTCGTATAAAAATTATCATTCTACATATAATATTAATTAAAATAAAAATTAAAATTATTGAATATCTCAATAAATTTCTAAATATATAAATTCTAATTAATCTAAAAAAAATAATCATCCCATATTCAGATAAAAAAATTAATGTAAATCCTCCTCTAAAATATTCAATATTAAAGCCAGAAACTAATTCTGACTCACCTTCAATAAAATCTATGGGTCTTCGATTCAATTCAGCTAAAATTCTAATAAAAAATATAATAAATAAAGGATATAAAACTACTATGTATCATAGATAACATTGATAATTAATAAAATCAAACAAAGAATATCTTTCTCTTATCAATATAATAATTAAAATGATTAAAATAAATCTAACCTCATATGATAATATCTGTGAAACTGATCGTATAGCTCCCATCATTGAATAAACCGAATTTGCTGATCACCCTATAAAAATTATAACATATCCTCTAATAGTTATAAAAACAATTATTAATAAAATTGAATAATTTAAAAAATAAATATTAGTAATATAAGGAAATACTAATCATATTATTATTATTAAAATAAATCTAATTATTGGACATATATAAAAAAAATTATAATTAGATTTATAAACATAAAATAATTCTTTATTAAGTAATTTAATAGCATCACTAAAAGGTTGAAATATACCAATAAATCCTACTTTATTAGGCCCCTTACGAATTTGTAGATATCTTAAAATTTTACGTTCTAATAAAGTTAAAAAAGCCACCCCCATTAATATAATTAATAATAAAATCAATAATCTTAATATATTTAATATCCCATAATAATATAAACTTAAATTTTGATAAATTATTACTTGTATAATTTATTTTCATACATTATTTAAATTCTAAATTTAATACACTTTAACTCTGCCAAAGTAATTTAATTCATTAATCTATATTTAACAATTAAATTTATTCATTTAAAAAATTCAATTCCAAAAAAAAGTCCTTTCGTACAAAATTTTTTTTATTTTATTATAGATAGAAACCGATCTGGCTTACACCGATCTGAACTCAAATCATGTAAAATTTTATTAGTCGAACAGACTAAAATATTAAACTTCTCCATTTAATTTTTATTTTAATTCAACATCGAGGTCGCAATCATTTTTATTAATATGATCTTTTTAAAAATATTACGCTGTTATCCCTAAGGTAATTGTTCGAAATCGAACGGATAAAGAAAGCTGAAAGGAAGGGCATTAATGTATTACATTCAAATTCATGCAATATAAACATGCAGCATGCACATAACTAGCATTACGTATATAAAACCTTAAATTGTAACAGGCAGACTTTAATATTATTTAAATCGCGCTCGGCCGCACAAGTATACATATACCTCGCGCCTGCGAAAAAAAGAAGCGCTTGCGTTAACTTTCACTTTAATCGTAAACACCGCGGTCGCGCGAGAGGAGAGAAAATCAAGTGCCAATAACAACAAAATATGACTTGCTAAAAGGTAAATAATTATCGTAAACGTACTTTCGCCCTTAACATCTCGATCGAACAAGGGAAAATGTTCGCGAAGGTTCTCGAAATCCGGGACTATATAAACCTCCTCTCTCGTGACCGCGGCGCTCTTTCCGATTGCTCGTCGCGAATAGAGTGTGCTTTTACTTTCCGAAAAAGATCGCTTGTCTTTTTCGGTTTTCTCTTCTAATTACCGTTGCTTGCGGAACAGTCAGTAATTTATTTTCGACCCGGCTTTTCTCTCGTTTATTGCATTCATTTCTAATACATTCGACTCGGCTATCTTTCGGCAAATTCAGTGCGGAATATTAATTGTAATTTTTGTTAAAAGTTTATATAAATATATTCTTTTTTGTGAACGTTACGCGTGTGTCGAGTGTTGTGTCTATCTCTCAGTCTCGCTTCCGACCACGTCCTATCCATCTTTCCGTCGCGCACATTTTTTGGTCCTTCGAGCCGGATTCCTCAGGAACCTCCCTTGAATCCGGTGCCACGGAAGCGATAGTGAATCAGTGTCGGTGACCGGTGCTCCTAGAAAAGAGAAACAGTTTTAGACATGACAGACACTAAGGCAATCATTGCCACAGCCACAGTGCTATACGGCAAAATCTCGCGCGCGTACGAGAACCTTCGGAAGCTCGGCGAGGCCAATATCACCCTCGGCGCGGTGGAGGCCCGGCTTCAAAACCTCGAGAAGCTGTGGGAGAAATTTGACACAATTAACGATACTTTAGCCGATCGTGTGGACGAAATACGGCATGAGGTGTACGCCAAACAAGATATCCCTTCGTTGGGCGAGGAGGCTTACCTGCAGAACAAGGGCCTCATGCTCGATCTGAAGAGCGCTCTCCAACGACAAGAGCATACATCCAGACCAAGTTCGGCAGCGACACCGGCCGCCGCTCCTCGGACCGCATTGCCTAAGATTCAACCGCCGACCTTCACCGGGAAGTACGAAGATTGGCCTTCGTTCCGAGACCTCTTCCAGTCCATCATTGGCAGGAACCAGGCAGCCAGACCTGTTGAGAAATTACATTATCTCAAACTCTGTGTCAAGGGTGATGCGGAGTTACTGATACGCAACCTGAACACTACGGAGGAAAACTACGAAATCGCTTGGAAGACGCTAAGCGATTTTTACGAGAACGCCAGGCTGTTAACCCGAAACTACCTCAACAACTTCCTGGCGCTTCCTAAGATGAAGAGCGAATCCGCAGTGGAACTGGGGCGACTCTTTCACGGCGTAAAAACCACAGTCAGCTCGCTGAAGAGTATCGATCGTCCCATCGATCGCACGGAGGACCTCTTTGTGCATCTGGTCGTCGAGCTCCTCGACAATCGTTCTCGTCGGGAATGGGAGAGCGTCATCAGTCACACGACCAACCCGCCTACTTACGCCGAGCTGGAAGCCTTCATCGAGCGACGGCTTCATACTTTGGAGGCACTGTTTCCAGCCAAGAACGACAGCCGCAACCTTAGCAGTGCAAAAACAACTCGGAGCCATCACGTGAAGAAAGCTGAAACGAAGGATAGATCCAGAAGTCGGTGCGCCGATTGCCAGGGTGACCACTTCATAATGTTTTGTGACAAATTCAAGGAGAAGACGGCTACGGCCCGCAGGCAGTTTGTCAACGATCAAAATCTCTGCTCAAACTGCCTGGGTCGACACCAGCTTTCGGAATGCTCATCAAAAAAGACTTGCACGACGTGCGGCAGTCGGCATCACTCCTCGCTGCACGACGCCTTCTGCAACGCCAAGACCGCCACAACGTCACACTTAGCGCAAGGATCTCATCCGGCCTCTGTCACGGTGTTGCTCGCCACAGCTCGCGTCCGCGTCCTCGATGGCCACGGATCCTGGCATTCCGCCCGAGCGCTGATCGACCAGGGCTCAGAGTCTTCCATCATATCGGAGCGATTGGTTCAGCGACTGCGACTGCCTCGCATGCCCGCCGCCGTCAGCGTTTATGGACTCGGCGAGAAAAAAACGGGAGTTGCAAAGGGTAAGGTTCAGCTTACTTTTAGAGCGCACAACGGCGACCAGTCCAACTCCGTCGCCGCCTTGATCCTGCCGAAGCTCACTCTCTTCGCCGGAGGATGCCGCCAAAGTCTGCAGTCCTGGACCCATCTTAAGGACCTGGAGCTCGCCGATCCAGAATTCCGTTCCGCGGATCCAGTAGATCTTCTGCTGGGCGCCGACGTCTACGGAGTAATCATCCGCGAGGGCCTAAAAAAGGGGAATCATCAGGAACCAGTGGCACAGCAGACCTCACTAGGATGGATACTCTCAGGCACCATCAATGAGAATGCACGCGGCCATCGTGTTGCAACTCACCATTGCCAAATCGAGGAGGACATCACCTGCTTGGTTCGGCGGTTCTGGGAGCAGGAGGAAGTTCGTAGGCCATCTCCGATCCTCACCAAGGCCGAACTGGAGTGCGAAGAGCACTATCGCCGACATCATACTCGCTCTCCAGACGGCCGGTATATCGTGCGCCTGCCCACTATTGACTCTCTGCCGGACCTCTCAGGAACAATCCGCGCTGCCCGCCGAGCGCTGCAACACACAGAGAAAAGGTTTGAGAGAGACAGCGAATTTCAAGGTATGTACGTGGAATTCATGCGGCAATATTTGAACCTGCGACACATGAGGCCTGCTCCGTCGTCAACTGAATCGCATCCGGGGGCTTGCTACCTGCCTCATCACGGGGTATTGCGTCCGGACAGCTCATCAACCAAACTGAGGGTCGTCTTCAACGGCTCGAGCTCCTTGCCGAACGGAGACTCCCTCAATAGATATTTAGCAACTGGTCCGAATCTACTGCCTTCGCTAGCCGACATCCTGCTGCGCTGGCGACGTCATCGCTACGTCTTCGCGACTGACATCGAAAAGATGTATAGGCAGATACTGGTGCACCCCGACGATCAAAACCTGCAAAGGATATTGTGGAGAGGGAACGCCAAGGACGAAATCAAGGAGTACTGGCTAAGTACCGTTACTTACGGTCTATCCTGTGCTCCTTATCTAGCGATCCGCACTTTACGACAACTAGCCGAGGACGAAGGACATCGCTACCCGAAAGGAGCCCTCATCCTGCTGAGCGACGTCTACATGGACGACATCCTGGCCGGTGCGGAGACCATGGAGGAAGCCGAAGTAATGCTGCAACAGCTGACTGAGATCTGCAGGGCGGGCGGCTTCTCACTTAAAAAGTGGTCGGCAAACCACTCGCTCCTGCTGAACGCAGTGGAGCCCGACGACCGTCTTCGACGAGAGGCCAGATGGTGGCTGCCCGGCGAGAGTCACTCCACTCTCGGTTTACGCTGGCAACCACGTGACGATCGCTTCGCTTTCGCAACCAAACTGACCACGCTGTCGACCTTCACCAAAAGGTCGGTATTATCTTTGACGGCGAAAATGTTCGACCCTCTCGGCTGGCTGGCCCCAACAACGGTATTAGCCAAGATCTTCATCCAGTCCACCTGGTTGCTAGGTCTTGATTGGGACGCTCCGCTACCCAGCGACGACGAGAGAAGATGGCTGCGATTCCAGAACGAGCTGCCTGCTTTGGAAAACGTGCTCGTACCTCGATGGCTGGGAGGTTTGACTGATTCACAGCTGGAAATCCACGGGTTCGCCGATGCCTCAGAGCGTGCCTACTCAGCGGTGCTATACCTGAGGACAGAAACAAAGGGTCTTATTAAGGTGGCACTCTTAGCTGCAAAAACTAAGGTCGCGCCCTTGAAGCAAGTATCACTACCTCGGCTGGAGCTGTCGGCCGCCACTCTTCTGGCTCGTCTAGTCGCCCACACCGTACCGATCATCGGAGCAGCCAAGGCACCTCTTCACATGTGGTCTGATTCCACCGTCACGCTTGGTTGGATCCGTGGGCATCCCTCGATGTGGGCCACCTATGTAGCTAATCGAGTCAGCGAGATCCAGATGCTGATCCCGGACGCCCACTGGCATCACGTACCAGGTCGGGAGAACCCAGCGGACTGTGCTCCCGGGGACTCTACCCTAGCGAACTGGTTGACCACCCGCTCTGGTGGCAAGGTCCCGCATGGCTGACAGAGGAGAGCGGTACTTGGACGACGAATAGCGAGGCGATGCCAGCGGAGGACCTCCCAGAGAGACGAGTCCGGACCCACATCGCCGCCGTTACCGAGCTGAAGCCCGAATCGGAGTTACTGCTGCGCTACTCCTCGCTGAAGCGACTGCTACGGATCTCGGCTTGGTGCCGCCGCTGGTTGCTGATTCACCGCCAGCACCGCCATGCGCAAGGCCAGCCTAGCGTGATCAGCTCCGACGAACTGACGGAGACCCGCATCTCCTGGGTAAGGTTGATCCAATCTAAAACCTTTACAGAAGACATTAGAAAGCTGCAAAATGGAGCGGCTCTGCCGTCGCGAAGCTCCCTACAGAAACTGAACCCATTCCTGGACAGCGAGGGACTTCTACGAGTCGGCGGGCGCCTCAGACACGCAAACCTACCGTACGACGCAACTCACCCGCCAATACTGCCCAGCGAGTCGGCTTTCACTCTCCTCGTCGTAGATGATCACCACCAGCGAACTTTACACGGCGGTACTCAGATGACCTTGTGCTCCCTGCGCCGGGAGTATTGGGTCCCTCGAGGTCGGTCGTTGGTGAAGAAACACATCAGCCGATGTGTAAGGTGCACAAGATGGCGAGCCGCCATCCCACAGCCTCTCATGGGCGATCTCCCGGGGCCAAGGGTCACACCAAGCAGGCCATTTCTGCACACCGGCGTCGACTACGCCGGTCCGGTTTGGCTGAGGACCTCGAAGGGCCGCGGACACAAAGCTACTAAAGGGTTCATTGTGGTTTTTGTATGTTTAGCCTCCCGAGCCGTTCACCTCGACGTAGCCTCGGACTACTCCGCCGACGCCTTTATCGCAGCCTTGCGCCGGCTCATCTCAAGGCGAGGGGTCTGCATCAGCTTATACAGCGACTGCGGTACCAACTTCGTGGGTGCGGACAGGCAGCTAAACTCTCTCTTCTCCGCCGCCAGTGCCGACGGACGCCGCATCGCCTCATTCGCCGCACAGGAGAAGATCCAGTGGCATTTCAACCCACCGGCGGCACCGAACTTCGGCGGCTTGTGGGAAGCCGCGGTTAAATCGATGAAGCACCATCTGCGACGAGTCATCGGTGATGCGACCCTCACCTACGAGGAGCTGGCTACGCTCCTCTCGCAGATAGAGGCTTGCCTCAATTCACGACCGCTGCAGTCCTTGTCCGATGATCCTGAGGACGTCGCAGCTCTCACACCGGGGCACTTCTTGATCGGTTCCGCTCTCTCCGCAGTACCGGAGCCGTCGCTCGAACGAGAGCCGTCGACCCGACTATCACGCTGGCAGCTCCTGCAACAGATGAGGGACCATTTCTGGTCTCGGTGGTCCAGCGAATACTTACATACGCTGGCCCATCGGCCAAAATGGTCCCAAGTCAACCAGGAGGCTCACGTCGGGCGTCTGTGTCTACTCCGCAGCGAAACCACCCCACCAACGCGGTGGCCGCTCGCGCGCATCACTCGGCTGCATCCCGGATCCGACGGCCACGTGCGCGTCGTCGATATACGTACCGCGAGTACGAGTTTAACGCGCCCCGTCAGTAAACTTGTGTTCCTGGGCGGCGACCACGAAACTTTACGATAATCCGGCGTAAAGCGGCTCATATAATTCTGTTCTTCTTTTCCACAGATCTTCATCGCTCATCTCTCATCAATTGCACGCCCACTTTCACTTCACCAACATACTATCACATCACTACCTTCTGTTCATTACGACACCATTCTCACCACCAAAATAGTCGCCTCATCCTAAATTACAGTAGACTCATTTATCTAAATTGCTCGGTCTTCGCGACACAAGAGCCGACACGCGTCTATACTGCTACGCAAGAAATCAACAGCTGACCGATTCAGCATTCCTTTCGCGACCTAAGCCGGAGCACGTGAACTCCTCGTGTCCGGAACCAGCGAGCGCGTGAACAAGCGCGCGCCCCCTCTATCGCACTACTCAGTGGATTGCAGGTATACTGCAAGGCGGGCGGAATGTTCGAAATCGAACGGATAAAGAAAGCTGAAAGGAAGGGCATTAATGTATTACATTCAAATTCATGCAATATAAACATGCAGCATGCACATAACTAGCATTACGTATATAAAACCTTAAATTGTAACAGGCAGACTTTAATATTATTTAAATCGCGCTCGGCCGCACAAGTATACATATACCTCGCGCCTGCGAAAAAAGAAGCGCTTGCGTTAACTTTCACTTTAATCGTAAACACCGCGGTCGCGCGAGAGGAGAGAAAATCAAGTGCCAATAACAACAAAATATGACTTGCTAAAAGGTAAATAATTATCGTAAACGTACTTTCGCCCTTAACATCTCGATCGAACAAGGGAAAATGTTCGCGAAGGTTCTCGAAATCCGGGACTATATAAACCTCCTCTCTCGTGACCGCGGCGCTCTTTCCGATTGCTCGTCGCGAATAGAGTGTGCTTTTACTTTCCGAAAAAGATCGCTTGTCTTTTTCGGTTTTCTCTTCTAATTACCGTTGCTTGCGGAACAGTCAGTAATTTATTTTCGACCCGGCTTTTCTCTCGTTTATTGCATTCATTTCTAATACATTCGACTCGGCTATCTTTCGGCAAATTCAGTGCGGAATATTAATTGTAATTTTTGTTAAAAGTTTTTTGTAATTAATTTTTGTAATTAATTTTTATAATAACTATTATAAAAAATAAAAAAATATTTTTTAAATTTAATAATTAATCTTTTATTAAAATTTCATTAATCAATGTTAAATGTTAAATTATATTAAAATTAAAGTTCATTTTATTTAATTATCCTCCCAATAAAATATAACTTATAAAATAAAATTTATCTTACCTTAAATAGATTCAAAAATTATATTAAATTCAATAGGGTCTTCTCGTCCCATAATTTCTCTTAAGAATTTTAACTTAAAATTTAAATTTTAAATTTATAAATTGAAACAGTTCTAATTTCATCAATTCCTTCATTCCAGTTTTCATTTAAAAAACAATTGATTATGCTACCTTTGCACAGTCAATATACTGCGGCTATTTAAAAATCACTGAGCAGAAATAATTTTAAATTATTATAAAAAAACCATGTTTTTGTTAAACAGGTGAATTAAAATTTTATTTAAATAAACTACATTTGCCTAGTTCTTTAATTATAAATATCATTTATTTTTAATTTAAAAATTTTTATATAATTAATTATTTATATTTATACTTATATTATCATTATTTCCTAAAATAATTAATTTATTTAAAATATTTTTTTATTTAATTAAATTAAACTCTCACAAATTATTATTATTATTACACTCTAAAATTTAAACAATTTTATAATAATAAATTATTAAATTTTTATAAAAAATTTTTAATATTAAAAACATTTTTTTATTTTAAATCTTTTATTCTATTAAATATTTTAATTATAATTTATAGCTAATCCCATAAATTTTTTATATAAATTTATTAATTAAATTTAACTAATTTTTATTAATTTAATTAATTTTAAATTATTTATATATAATTAAATTTATATCAAAAAAAACTAGATATCATAAAAATTGACTAAAATATCTTCTCCAAATGAATATTAAGAATAATTTTTATACATTAACTCTCATATTATTTCATTTAACTCATTTTATTTCGAGAAATTTAAATTATTCAATAAACAACAAAATTTAATAATCCCTGATACAAAAGGTACAATTAATAAAATTTACTTTTATCTAATTAATTAATTTAATTTAAATTTTCATTTACATTATTATATATATAATTCATTTAATTTTTTTTTTTTACATACTTTAACAATTAAAAAAATAAACTCCATCTAATCTTTACTATAATTTTATTTAATTAAAATAATATACTTAAATTATATTAAATTTCTCATAATTATCAAATTTAATTCTTCTTTTAAAATTTTAATAAAATTCATTAAATCATTATTAATCTCCTCAATGTAAATGAAATATTTTAAATAAACTAAAATTTTTTATTATTTTAAATACATTTTCCAATATATTTACTTTGTTACGACTTTTCTTACAAACTATATTTAATAAGAATGACGGGCAATTTGTACATAATTTATATAAAATTCAACCTACAAATTTTTATAAATTTACATTTAAATCCTACTTAAATAATAAATTAAATATTATTTACAAAAAATATTTTTTAATATAACTCATTTAAATCTTAATAATTCTACATTTTGATTTGACTTCAATTTATATTATATTCAATAAATTTATAATTAAAATCTCTTAATTCAACTATCAACAACAATATATAAAATATTTATATTAAGTTAATCTACTTGTGGGTTATCAAATTAATCAACAAGTTCCTCTAATTAAATAAATCACCGCCAAATTTTTTATTTTTAATGATTCACATTTAATATTTAATTAATTTATATCCATTCATTTAAATAATAGGGTATCTAATCCTATTTTCTTTTTAAACTTAACTAAAAATAAATTTTCAAAATAATCTTTCTTACTAATTAAAATTATTACATTTCACTATATATAAAAATTAAAAAAAAAAATACTTTAAATTTTTCTTTCATATTCTTTAAATTATTAAAACTATTTATTTTTATCATCAGTATAACCGCAATTGCTGGCACCTAAATTTATTAATAATTCAAATAAAATTATCTATCATAATTTCCATTAAAATAATTATTTTAAATATTAATAAAATTATTAAAATTATTTAAATTTTTTAATAAATATTCTTTTATAAAAATTTATTTATATTCAAATTTTATAATAAATCTACAGAAAAAATTATTTCTATCATTAACTAATTTTTCATATTTATTTAACTCATTTATTTTTTAATCAATATGTAATTTTTTTAATTATTAAATTTAATAAATACTTAATTTATATATTGACTAAAATAAAAATACTAAAATTCCTACCTCATTAACTAATTTTTTATATTTATTTAACTCATTTATTTTTTAATCAATATGTAATTTTTTTAATTATTAAATTTAATAAATACTTAATTTATATATTGACTAAAATAAAAATACTAAAATTCCTATCTCATTAACTAATTTTTCATATTTATTTAACTCATTTATTTTTTTAATCAATATGTAATTTTTTTAATTATTAAATTTAATAAATACTTAATTTATATATTGACTAAAATAAAAATACTAAAATTCCTACCTCATTAACTAATTTTTCATATTTATTTAACTCATTTATTTTTTAATCAATATGTAATTTTTTTAATTATTAAATTTAATAAATACTTAATTTATATATTGACTAAAATAAAAATACTAAAATTCCTACCTCATTAACTAATTTTTCATATTTATTTAACTCATTTATTTTTTAATCAATATGTAATTTTTTTTAATTATTAAATTTAATAAATACTTAATTTATATATTGACTAAAATAAAATATATATATATTTATATAAATAAATATTTATTATTAATAAATATTTTATATATATTATATAATGTTTATTAAATAAATAATTTATTTAAATATATTAATAATTAATACTCTATTTCTCTATATATAAATATTTTATTATTATTATAAATAATTAATTATTAATTAAATGAATAATTTATATCATTTATAATAATTATCATTATTTAATAATTCATAAAATCTTTATATATATGTATAAATCACTATAAATTTTATTAATTATTAAATTTTATTAATAAATAATCTAAGATAAATAAATTTTTATAAATTTTAAAAACTTTCACATAAAATATTTAATGATTCTTATTTTTTACGAAAAACTCTTTCACCCTGAAAGCCTTCCAATGTACAAACACTCGTCCGTCACTACACAAAACATTCCTAACCACACTTGTAACTTCCAAATTACATTCCCGCAGGTTGCATCCTTCTTCGAGTTCCTGCTCACAACACGCACACGTTCCATAAATACTTTCTCATTCACTCGCCCTTTCAAATTCCTCTCATACATTTCTCTTATTAACACATCATTCCCCATATCATTCGGCACATCATACAAGATGATCTTCGGGCCTATCTTGCGAGGCAGCTCAACTTTTAGGCCAGCATTCTTAAACTGGCCGCATTCTCTTATTTTTTTCAGCTCACTCTCACTCATCGTTTCGACCGCTACCCCTCCATTCCTCAACTTTCTCACCGCTTTCACACGCACATTCAGCGACTTGCTCACATGCTTCAACATTCTCTTCTTCACTACCTCGCTTGTCACACTTGCACTTGTATCTTCCGCTCTCACAATCACCGCATAACTCTTCTCTTTCGTACTCGTCTTCGCATTCACTTCCTGTATTTTCTTGCTCCCCAGCACACTCTTTTCAACATTTTTCGCACTTACACTTGCATAGCTCATTCCATTCCCGCCGTAAGCTATATCCCGATTCGCTCGACGCACGCACTCATCCAGCTTCCCCTGCATTCTCTCATTCTTGCAGATCATACGCATCACTTGCTCTTCATATTCTCCCACCATGTCCAAAATTTTCTCGCTCGCACTCTTCGATATTTTGTTTGTCTCCGTAAACAAGAATTTACGGAGCCGCGCACCAATCATTCTCATATTCGC